TCAATTCTGTATTTTCTCATTTGTTACTGAGTTTATGAAGCGAGTGGATGCAACTGATGAGCGCTCGCGAAATTTATGGTTCCATTAAATTCTGCTACATACGCAATGTTAGTTCTTGCTGTTTCCTGGACTGGACCATCTCCCCCTTTTAGGCGGTCCATGCACTCATGACTACACGCGCATACGGACAAATGATCACCTTTGGACCGATCCTTCGGCTCGTGAACTGCTCCAACGCCAGCAGATCTATGCTGGTGGAATGGAAAACCGCGTCCGGGCCTTTCATCAGACGAACTCACTGGTCAAACAATTCAGCCTGCCTTCCCCTGTCATCGGCCGTCATCTTCAGCTGTCCTCGGACACGGGCCTCGACCTGTCAATGCAGTTTTCATCGGATTATGTTTCGCCCGCATCCCTCCTCTGCAATGTTTCGCTTCCTGGTGGACAGTCAAGACCCTCCTTTCTGGTAGGCTCCTTTCTGAGATCAGCTTTTGTTCGCCCAGTTTTTAAACTCACATTTCAACCAAATGACCGCTTTATTACATACTTGAACTTGTGGTGACCTACATTATTGGTTCACCGCATCACCAATAGTCGTCGTCCACAGTTCGTTCAAACTGCCCGGTACGATTGAGCCAGTTGTCATGTCAACTTGCCAGACGTCTCTTTTCTCATCACTTTTCTAGACCTTTAGAAATTAGTACTCAGTTGCCCTCGGATATAAGAACCGACAGAAGCAGATCAGCCCGGTCTACCACGTTCCGTCTGGATATAAAGAAATGTTGGTTTTTAATATAGTATTGCCACACATTTCGTTGGTCGCGTAATCTAGAAATTTGTTCTGAGTGAAGACAGAACATTGTTTACATTGCGTGTAGTTAATAAATAAAGCTAATAACGTCCCAGCTTACGCCTCCCAGCAATCTGGATCTCAGTATTTGGCCTTCGACCGCAAATGTGCACCTTATTCTGCTTTTGCATCGCGTATGCTTTCGGTTTTGATGAATTTGACCTTGACTCGAGGTATTCACCGCATCTTT